AATGCTGCGGCGGCAGTTGTCTCCCAAGCCGCCGCCTGATTTTCCGCCGAGTCGTGGACCAGATCCTCCGGATATGGCCCAAGCTCCGTCAGGAACCTCTCAGGGTCCATCAGTCGCCTGGGACGGAACCATCTAGGCGGTTCCGTCTCCCTGCGGCGAGGGGGAGCGGTCCGGAAGTCCATCCTTAGGAGAGAATGATGATGATGATGATGATGATGATGATGATAATAATAATAATAATAATAATAATAATAATAATAATAATAATAATAATAATAATAATAATAATAATAATAATAAAGTTGGAAGGGACCTTGGAGGTCATCTAATCCAACCCCCTGCTCAGGCAGGAAACCCTATACCATTTCGGACAAATGGCTGTCCAGTCTCTTCTTTAAAACTTCCAGTGTTGGAGCATTCACTGCTTCTGGAGGCAGGTTGTTCCACTGGTTAATTGTTCTAACTGTCAGGAAGTTTTATTAAAACATTTTAATTCATTTGGACATATTAGAATTACTTATCAGATTTAACAGACCATCTAGTTTGGATGTAAATATTTTCATAAGTTATGCAAGAAACTTATGCTACTCCGTTCCAAATTCATGTTGTTCCTTCTCTCCTTAGCATGCTATAATTAACTATGAAGTCTTCAATTAACAATAGCTTATTATTATATCCACAATGGAAAATTATAAACAGGTTCAAAATAGACCATAATCTTAAATCAATCTGAAACTCAGAAATAGTTAGAAACTATAATAAATTCAAAAGTTCCTATCATGAAAGCTTTATGAGTTCATTGGGAAAAATCCAACACACAGCACACCAAAAATCTAACTATGATAAATCCAGTTTGGTATTTGTGCCTCATGCAAGAACTCCAAGTCAATTTTTTTGATGATCCATTTGTTATTTTTCTTGTCTATCAAGAATCTTGATTCTCTTCATGTCATGATTCAGATTCTTGCTCTGAAGAAGCTGCCCCAGCTAAACCAGTGGAATGTCAGCCTCAGAAGATACCAAACCAGGCATTTATCTGGAAGCTATCAGGAATCTATCAATCTACCAAGGGAAGTATATCATCTCCCAAAGTACAAAGTGCAAAGATCAAAGACATGACAAGAGAGGCTTGGGGCAGAAATCGTGGTGGTGCAGTGGTTAGAATGCAATATTGCAGGCTAACTCTTTGCTTACTGTCAGGAGTTTAATTCTGTCTGGCTCAAGGTGGACTCAGGACTCAGCCTTCCATCCTTCTAAGGTCGGTAAAATGAGGACCCAGATTATTGGGGGCAATACACTGACTCTGTAAACCATTTAGAGAGGGCTGTAAAAACACTATGAAGTGGTATATAAGTCTAAGCTATTGTTATTATCCAACTAATCAAGTCCACTGATTATTATACCTTTGTCCTCTTTCATGCTGGGATGAACAATACAACAAAAAAGAGCCTGAAAAAAAAATCAAATGTCTAGGCCAGTGATGGCGAACCTTTTAGAGACCGAGTGCCCAAACTGCAACCCAAAACCCACTTATTTATCACCGGGTGCCAGGTGGGTGTGGCCCACTGGATGGGCATGGCTGTGGTGGTCATGGCAGATTGGGTGGGTGTGGCCAAGGTGGGCGTGATCACCTCGATGTTGCTTGTGGAGAGGGACGTCTGTGGGGACCAGGCAGGGTTGGGGGAGATCCAAGGGGTCTCTGCCAGGTGGGGCGGTGGGCAGGAGGCTCGTCCTGTGGGGTGAGGCGAGGCAAGCCGAGGCAGGGTGGGGGTGCCATTGTCACAGGGTGAGGCAGGGGCCACGGGTGGCTGCTGTCTGACACCATCAGCCCCTGCACACAGAGGCCAGCGAGTGCATGGGTGCTGGGATGCATCCAGCCATGTGGGACCTCAGTGAGTTAGCAGGCAGCTGGTTGAAGAGGGATGGTTGCCATCTCCGGGGGATGGTGCGCGTGCCCACAGAGAGGGCTCTGAGTGCCGCCTCTGGCACGCGTGCCATAGGTTCGCCACCACTGGTCTAGGCAGAAAGGCAAAAGACTTAGGAGCACAGGCGGTGCTTTCATCCATACTTCCAAAGCATGGTCAATATCCAATGAAATAATGGAGGATTTTAGAGATAAACTACTGGTTCAACAGATGTTGCTGTCAAGAAAAATTTGGATTTGTAGACTATGGTCTACACTATCTCCATGTTGGCCTTTGGCAAGAGATGGACTCCACCGCACAAGAATTGGGAAGAATGTATTTGGAAGACATCTCACTAGCGTCTATTTCTCTGACAAGCTGAGGGACAAAAAGGACAAGTATAAAAATATCTTCAGATAGCCCAAAACCTCAAGGACAGTCAAAAAAGCTAAGGCTCGCAATTCAAAATCAAAGGAGTTAACAATATCAATAACAATATTAATCAAAAAGCATCTAGATTAACAGACTGAAATGTTCCTTCTACATACCAAACAGAAAAGCAATTTTTCATACAACAATTATTCAGAAAATAGAGGTAACTTCTCTTCTTCACCATGGTCCCATGCGTCTGCATCTGCTCCAATGTGAGATTCACTAGCCTAGTATATCTACTAAGCCGGAGAGTGGATAGCCACTTTGTGACTGTACACATTCACAAAATTGGATGGCTGTATCATTATGATATTATGCTTGAAGATAATGAGGTGTGGGATAATTTGGCTTTGAACATAACCAGGGGAACAGAATGCACAAATGACTTGCACTTCATTCTCTATGCTTCTTTGTTATGTCTGAAATGTAATCTGCACTTTTCGCTCCACACTTACATGTGCAATCTCCCACAGAAAAGGAGCCTACCCATCTCAGATATCCAAGGCATTCTAAAGAAGCACAGAGACTATGAAATATAAAGTATATGGGCTTCCTGTACTTCTCCTATGCTATTAGAAGAAATTCAAAATTAGTTTTAATAAAAACGATTAAATCC